GTCAATCAATCAATCAATCAATCAATCAATCAATCAATCAATCGATCAGGTTTATTTGTATAGCCCTTTACAACAGTGTTTTTCAACCTTTTTTGAGCCAAGGTACATTTTTTCATTGAAAAAATCTCGAGGCACACCACCAACCAAAAATGTTAAACAAATCTGTAGCCGCCTATAGTGACACTATAGTTATATTTATTTTATTCTTATCTTATCTTAAGTGTCTTGAATAGGAATCAAATAAACACAAAAATGTATTTTTATCATATTTTATATTTCTTCTTTCAAATTGCACTTAACATGTCCACTTCAATATGCAAAATTATATACAAAATCTAGTCATAAGGAATTATTACATGATTACGCCACCAGTCACTAGAACAGCACAGACAAAATGGCATATTATTTGCAGAAAATTATCAAGTTGTTATTGTGAATTATCAGGATATTATAATGTGTGAGCCAGGTGCTGAGTGAGGGGTTCTGGATGGTTCAGAATCAGAATCAGAAATACTTTAACAATCCCAGAGGGAAATTATTTTTGTTACTTGCTCCATAAATAAAACAACGTAGTATAATATAGATCAGAATCAGAATCAGGTTTATTGCCAAGTAGGTTTTTCACCTACAAGGAATTTGCTTTGGTGTTTGGTGCACAACACTTCTATGAGAAACAAGAAACGACATACAATGTAGAAATAAAAATATATACAATAAAATAAATAATAATAATAAATAATAAAATAAAATATTGAATGTCCAACAACAGACCAGAAAATGTTGAACGTAGCATTGGGTAAATTAGTGGGGTAGAGGGGGGTGAGAGAGGAATAGGTGGGGGTCACTGGCCTCGTTGATGAGGCCAGTTGCTGCTGGATAAAATAAATAAATAGATAAATATCCGATAAATAACCGGCCCGTTAGCTCACCTCTAGTGCTGCTGGATAAAATAAATAAATAGCTAAATATATACATAAATAACCGGCCCATTGCTCACCTCCAGTGCTGCTGGATAAAATAAATAAATAGATAAATATAAACATAAATAACCGGCCCGTTAGCTCACCTCCAGTGCTGCTGGATAAAATAAATAAATAGATAAATATCCGATAAATAACCGGCCCATTGCTCACCTCCAGTGCTTCTCCACCCTGCGGCTGAGGGCGATCTTCTCTCCCACCTCGGTGCACACCGGGTTGGTCAGCACGATCTTGGCCAGGTCGGCCTTCACCGCGCTCACGCGGCCGCCGGTGGACAGAGAGCCGATGTTGACCATCAGGACCTCGTTCTTGGACAGTTTCTGGACCTGAGCGGGGAGAACCAATCAGAGTGTGACTACATTTCCCATGATGCAGGGCTCACCCTTGGACTACATTTCTAATTAATTTTCTATCAAGTATTTACTGCATTTATCACTGTGATCCCACTCTCTCAAAGCACTTTCATTAAGCATTTATTAATCTATTATTTGATTTAAATAATATTCTTTACAAAGGACTACATTTCCCATTGGGCAAGGCTAACCTTAGGACTACATTTTCCATACTCACCCTGGGACCACATTTCCAATGGTGCATAGCTCACCTTGGGACAATATTTCCCGTGGTGTAGGGCTAACTTTGGGACTACATTTCCCATAGACTCACCCTAGGACTACATTTCCCATGGACTGACCCTGGGACTACATTTCCAATGGTGTAGGGATCACCCTAGGACTACATTTCCCATTGTCCCAGGCTCACATAAGAACTAATCATCCCATGTGGCGGGGATCACCCTGGGACTACATTACCCATTTCCGATGGTTGAGGGCTAACTTTGGAACTACATTCCCCATGGAGCAGGGTTCAC